CTAAGGGGCCCAAAACACAACACACTCACCCACACAACATCGCAGCTCCAGAACCGGAACCCGATCCAACTCTTGAGTCCCCTCTACAAGCACGGCATCAACAAACGTCCGGAGTCCGGGGGAGGGGGGAGGGGGAGGGGGGAGGGGAAGGGTGGTGAGAAAAGAGAAAGAAGAAGAAACATTCCGATACCTGTACCCTGCGGTAACGGAGCATCGGTTACTGGTATTCCCCTCCCTATCATGACTGTTATCCCCCATACCATACATACCGGTACTTGTACTAGTACGAGTATATTCCAACCGTTACTACGCCGGATCACGCGTACCCACTCTCCCTCATCCACTTCCCCATTACAGCATCATATCATACAAATGCAACGTTGACCAGGCGAACGTTGCGTTGCGTTGTGTTGCGTTCGTCCAGCGCAGTGCAATACGCGTTGGTTCCAGGGGCGGGGCGGCACCGGTAATTATACCAACCCCGATCCACGCTACAGTACGGTTGGGGCGTAGTTAGCCCTTGATCAAACGACGACGAGGAGGAGAAGGAGTGGAAGTGGAGCATCACCCAACTCAATTTATTATTGCACGCTATTATAGGATAACTTTTCGGCCCCATTGCTGCTTCATTGCTTCACTGCTTCGCTCGCTTTGTTCCCGGTATCTGTTATGCTTCCCATGCCATGCAGGGTCGGTCACCACCCCTCCCTCGCCATTTCCACCTATCCGCGGTGAAGGTGACTCGAGTCGTGTGCGAGGGTAGCAGTCAGCCGCCGCTGATCAATTACTCAGCTTGGCACCATAGCAAGACATGGCAATATTTCTCCTACCCTACCGGTAACTCTGCTCCACGAGAGAGGATGGAAAGGGGTTTGAATTGGGGGGGGGTTCACAATGAACCGATGCGATTGATAAGGGTTGGAAGAAGAAAATCCTCCTCCATCCAGCGAACAATACAATCGTAGAGGTTACGGACAGATGCTGCGATTGATCGCGCAATGCCGGTAAACACATGGATTTTCTACTCATTCTAGAGAACACTGTACCGGTACTGCACTGCACTTGTGGGATATACTTGTGGGATATAACATCACGAGCAGGAGTCACCTATCGTTATCATTATTGTTATTCCTAAAAGGATGGAATTTACAGAAGGGGGAATCTCGGGATGGCATCGTATTACAATTCATGACAAAGGTTCGTTCGGTGGAGTTGGGCTCCTTGCTCTCCTTCCGTCCACAATACTCGAGTACGAGTACAGGTACAAGTACAGTATCACGGTAACTTGCTATTCTCTGTCCGTCGCTCGTCGTCGGCACTTGGCCTATCCTTCCTTCACTTCGCTCTTCCCCCTTTCCACAATGGTTACAGGACGAAGTCGGTCTGCAGGCATCCGTGTTATCATATGTGCCTCTTTTGTTTTTTTTGACTCAGCTACTTGTAACTTACTCCCGTTGTTTCAACTGCGAGCGAGGGTGAGGGCGGGAGAAGAAAAAAATTTGGAAAAAAAAAAAAAAGGAAGGAAGGAAGGGAAGCAATCAATGGCTGGGTAAGTTACCGTATTTTGTCTCTGTTTTCTTTTTTGGGAGGGGGGCTTTTCTTGGACCGTGGGAATTGCAAGGCAGGCAAGCAGGCAGGCAGGCAGGCAGGCAAAGTACGGTAAGGCAGTTAGAAAGAAGGCAGAAAGCCTCCAGGAAAGAATGAAGAAAGCCAGCTCGTTCCGGGTGTTTTGTTGCTTTTCTTTTCCCTCTTTTCCTTCGTCTATTTTAGGTTATGTTTGGTTAGGCGTGGTGGAAGTTACAAGTAAGGTTGTCGCCGTATGATACAAGTACTTGTACCAGTAAACCATATA